AATATCCTGTTTTCCGCACTTAAACCATAAAATTCAATTCAACAGCAATATCATATAATTTAAAAAAAGAATATCTTTAGAATTTCCGATACATAGTCTTGCGCGCTAGAGATGAAAATTCTTTTTTTCCTCTTTTTTTTTTTTTTTTTTTTTTTTTTTCTTTTTTCCTGTACAATGTTGGCATTCCTCACTTTGAAATCGTTGGGTTTCTTAATCAAAAACTCACAAATGCTTTACAAAATATGAAAATAGATAATAAAACAAATTCCCAGTTCCAAATTTGGGCCTCCAGATGCCTCTATTGGGATGGAGGATTATGTTATTCAGAATTTCATGCTCTATGGTACCGTTGTTTTATCTAACACAATGCGAGAAACATTCATACATTTCTGAACAGATTCCTCATTATTTAATTTCTTTAAATATAATAGAGTGCGATAATACTTGGTGGCAACGATTTGCCACAAAATGGCAAAACGAAATTAATAGGCCCTCTGAGCTAAAACGTATTATTAAAAGTATCACACTAGTAGTAGTACAGCTACTGAAAAAAATATTATAAAGCTATTTTATAGTTTTCTAGATTTTTTTTTAAATTTTATTTTACAGTAGTGTGAATTTCGCGTAATAATGAACGACATTCCTTTTTGTGTTCACAGTATTATTCTTAAGGTATTCAACTGTTAGATTTTAAAGTAAACGTAATTCTTGCTGTACATAAATCGAGTAGAAGCTTATCGGATGTCTACATTTGTATTAAATGAAGAAGGTTTATGTGCTTGATAAACTTATTATCTTCTACATTTTTAAAGCATACAATTGCAATTTATATCTGTAATTTCAGGAATAGTATAACCTTTCTTTCAGTAGAAATTGCGTTCTTGTTTTCTGAATGTGGCTGCAAATACTTTCTCAGTTCATCGCAAATTAAAATAACTATAAATTTTGGCAATCTGAAATACGCAATGAAAACATCCTTTAGCAGAGCAAAAGCATCAACATATTTCCTATAAATTCGCCACCAATTCAGAGATCTACGACCGTATTCTTCGTTTAAATATGAAAAAACCAGCGGCGAAAACACATACAAAGCCATTGTCTACTTAGTATGTCAATTGCACAACCCTGATTGACGACGCGGCAACACTTTTTCACGCGCTTTCGCAACTTCCGTACTCAGAGAATATAGGATGTCGAGCAGACCTGTTTTTTACTAGCAGCGACATCTGGCGGTCCACAACTTGCTGTCGACTCTCGTAGCGTAGAATAACTGTCCAGAAGGTGAGTGATTTAATTTCTATCTATATGCTATTTATCTCTGCAAATTAAAATGAGTTTCGAGGAAACCGTTGAACCAAATAAAAAAATTAGAGGTACGGTGCGAACCTGCATCACAAAATTAATTAAGAAACTTGACGAAGTACAAAATGAAAATCCAAATCTAGAGCTGTTGTAAGAATCGCTTTCAGTGTTAATCAAGAGAGAAACTGGTTTGTTAAAATATAATGAAGTTATTAATTAGAAACAGAAGCAGAGCATTCTTTAGAATGCAGCGAAGAATACATCATTAAATGTAAATCGAAAGTTAATAGATACATTCAAAATTTTGATAAATCGAAACAAATCAACAGGTTTCTGAAATCAAAACTAATTATAATACTAAATTACTGCGTATTACCTTAGAAACTTTCAATGGCGATTTATGTAAATTTACTCAATTTTGGCCTCAGTATGAAGCTGCCATTCACGAAAACAATATGCTTCAAGAGGTTGAGAAATGCAACTATTTTAAGATCTTTACTCACCAGTTCAGCTGCAAAAGCTACAAACGGATTGCCATCAACAGGAGAAAACTATAAAAAAGCCATCGGAAATTTAAACTGACAGATTTGGAAAAAAAGAAATATAAGTTAGTGCGTATATAAACATTCCCCTAACTTTGGGGCCAGTACATGGATCAAGCGATGTATCCAGTTTACGAAAACTATATGATGAAATAACTGTTCAAACTAGAAGTTTTGGAACACTAGATATTAATTTTAATTCATATGGCAATCTACTTCTTCCTATTTTATGTAAGTGTATACCACAAGTGATCCAGTTTAATAGAGAGCAAAATTCTGGCAAAGAGTCAACAGTGTCAGATTTATTATTGTTTCTACAGAAAGAAGTAAAAGCGAGTGAAACGTCCTCTGGGATCTTAATCAACAAACACTTTCAAAAACCAGCAAAAGAAATACTGACAGTTATCGTAAGAATTTTGCTCCAATTAACAAGAAAATGGTATCAGCGGTTAAGCTTCATACATCAGTGGAAATTTATATGTGCTACTTTTGTCTTAAATCTCACCGCTCAAAAGACTGCGACTTAAGTGTTTCAGAGAAACACAAAGCATTATATGATCAATTTAAGTGCAAGTGCTGTTTAAAAAAAAGGCACAAAAAACAAAAAACAAAAAAACATTTTGTACGGCGAAATGGGTTAAATGTAATCTGTGTGATGCAAACGTGCAAGAAAATAAAACCAACAAAAATACAAGTGCAGTAAAAGAAGCAAACATCAGTTTACTACTCCTCAAGATGCTGAGTAAGCAAATCCCTAATGATATGATTTATTATAAGACTTTGAACACCCATTTCGTCGGAAATAATTCGTCACTTAATGTTAGGTTGTTATGCGATTCTGCTTCCGTAAGATCTCATGTATGTCAGTCTATTTCTAGAGAAGCAGTTTTGCCAACTGTTGGCAGGGAAAAATTAAGAATTCATATATTTGCATCTTCGAATCCACCAGTAAAGAATTTCAAAAGAAAGAGACTTGCATTAAAAAAATAAAAGTGAATTTACTCTAACTATAGAGGCACTCGAAATTGAAACCATATGTTCCAGTACGATAGCGAGGCCAACTAGAGAAATCATAAACAAGCTCCACAAGGAAGGACTTGATTTATCTGACAGTTGCGATAGTGAGAGGGCAGAAGTACAGATTTTAATTGGAAATGATTATTTGAACCACATTTTAACAGGAAAAACTCATCGTTTGACTGAATGCTTAATATTGTATGAAAGCATATTCGGTTGGTCGTTGAGTGGTAGAGGGTGAGGCAGAGAATAAAAAGCTAAGTTCATCAGAGGAAGCATCAATGGGTTTGTTTATACAAGTTGATGCGGCAGTGGACGCAAAATATCGGAACAGGTTTGTCAGCTATGGGAAGTGGCAAGTTTATGAATTACTACCTGCTCATTGGAAAGGAGTGATTACAATCGGCAAATAATTAAGCAGTTTGAAAATGATTTGCAATATGTAGACAGGAGGTATCAGGCTCATTTGTTGTGGAATAGGAGTCCAGAGAATTTGGAAAATAATTTTAGCTTAGCGATAAGGCAGTTTGAAAGGGTGCAGCGAGAGTTGAAAAATAACAGCTTTGTGACGGAAGAGCTTATGGAGATAATTAAATATAAAATAACATTATTCAAGAGTGTGAAGATATGAGAAAGGGATATTTTTTGCCATTTCGAGCAGTGGTCCATAAAGATAAAAAAAAAAAAAAAAAAAAGCACTAAAGTTTGAATGGTATATATTGCAGCGGTTGAAAAAGAGGAAAGTCATTGTTAAACTATGGCTCAGAAGAAGGCCCAACCTAAATCAGAATATTTTGGATATCATTCTTGCTTTTCGAAAATTTAAAACTGGATTCTGCAGTGACGTAGAAAAGGCATTTTTGATGATTGGGATAGCAAAAGAAGATGGACAGTATTTAAAATTTTTGTGGTATGTGGACAATGACAGTGAGGACTTTAAAATAATGCAAATGAGCAGAGTATTTGGAAGTAATTGTTCACTCTTTTTATTCAGTGCAACGATCAAATATCATTTAAAGAAATACTCAGAAACTAACAAAAACTGTGTCAAGATGTTAAATAGCTCATTGTATGCAGATGATTTGTGTTATGGAGGGAAAAGTGTAGAGTCAGTTTTTAGTCTTTCATCAGGGGCAGTATCTATTTTGAAGGACACAAGTTTTAATATGAGAAAACTAAACACTAATTCTAAAGAGCTATATGACTTGTGGCTTCAGAATGGGTTGTGTGAAGAAAGTACGTTTGAGAGCGATAGTAAGTTGAAAGTGTTAGGCTTGGTGTGGAACTTGCAAGAGGATGTTCTGAGAGTAGATGTTACAACATTGTTGAGTAGTTTCGAATCACCGAGAAATAGTAAAAGATAGGTGTTAAGTACACCAGTTAAGGTGTTTGATCCAGTTGGATTTATTTCTCCATTTGTGGTGCGAATTAAGAGACTTATGCAGGAAATATGGGAGAGAGGTTTACACTGGAATACTAAGTTGTCAGAAGAGTTAAAGTTCAAATGGATAAAGTGGTGCCCTGAAGTTAAGGAATTACACTCGTTGAAAATAAAGGTACCACTCTGCAGAAGTTCTAAGTAAAGGTCATTTGGTCGAAGTTTGCATTTTCTGTGATGCGTCAGTGTTGGCATATTTTAAATACAAGAACAGGAGAAGAGAGGTATGTATGTTGTTTATAATGTCAAAGAGTAGGATAGCACCATTAAAAAAAGTTGTCCTTTCCTAGGTTGGAAATGATGGGAGCTGTAGTTTTCATCTCTCTGAATTCACAATAAAGCTCAAATAAGGCTGAACACATTAGCACTAAAAGTGTCTGGTAAAAGATATGCAGTTCTGTTCATCCTGAGGATTAACAGAATAGCAAGGTTTAATTTACTTGTAACAAAAAATTATCTTCATTTTTGTTAAAAATAGACTAGATGTTGAGAGTCTGAGATAATTGGAGTGAAATTAAAAAGAACAAAACATTACTTACTGACTATCAGAAGTTTTGGTATTTCTGTTAGACTAACTTTTCTCAGTTATTTTATCTGTAAATTGTTTTTGTAATACAGAAATAAAGAACTTAATGTAAACTAATTTTTTTTAAAATTTTTATCAAAATAAGAAATGCTAAAATTAAATAAATTTAAATTACCATTTCAGTTTGTCACTTGCTCCAGCAGAAAATATAGAGCTTCTAATACCTTCACCCATTTCTTCACGACAAAAGCTGAAATTGCTTATTGTCCAGGTATAGGAAAACTTCACTATTCTGAACTAAAAAGAGAATTTTTTAAATATAATTAATTATATTACAGAACTTAATAAGCCATAACTTGAAATAAACATCTGAATGGCAAAAAGTAAATCAAACTTCAAACAAAACATAATTCTGTAATAAATTAACATTAAATGCAAAACCATGTGGTAAAACTTTTCAGATCACTTTTAAAGCTTACCAAAATGAACTGCAAAATTGATGAAAAATCACATGGGCATAAAATTACACATGATGTCCATAGCTCTTTACTGAATAAATTAACAAAATATAACACAATTGACACAGGCTGGTGATAAGTGAAGGAGGACACCAGTACTTTGCCAGAATGGCTAGATAGGTAGAATCCAACACCTACCACTGCATGAACTGCACTTATAACATGAATTGTTTGGCATTGTTAATGTTATTGACTGAGATTTTAATCAGCCTAGCCCAGTTTTGGTCATTCATTTCAAGGTTGATAAAGCAGTTAACACTTTAAATACGAATGGAGTATTTTACGATGTTATTAAGTCTTCTCATTTCCAATTGTTCCAGCATGATCTTTGACCCATTAGAGTTGAATACTTAGATTAATATCTAAATGGAAGTCACCTTGTATGTTGTTAAGAGATGGGAGATCAATGGACTTGATTTTGAATGGAATGCAGCAATGAGATGTTATCAGTGTAAAAGATAATACTGCTCATAGTTTTTCACCAATGTCTGCTATAACTTTCATAAAGCGTTTTCATAAAAGATGCTGCCTTGGGGAGCAGAAATAACCTTTCCATTGATGTAAAATGTCATATTGTACAGTACAAAGTTCGAAATCCGGTCTAGTCGGGACTTCGCCGATTAAGGATTTGGGATTTTTCCGGATATTAGACAATCAATTTAAATCTAGTAAGATGGCATACAGAAACTATAACGTTAAAAATATGAAATCGTAATTTATGAAATAATGAGCATTTATGATCTAAAGCAGCGGTTCTCAACCTTTTGACTAACGCATACTATCTAAATAAAAATTGAAAACCTTTAGTACCACCGCTACAAAGTACTACCACCGCCACCACTCTTGAACAAAGCTTCAAATCATATAAATTTAGGAGTGTTAGAGAAAAAACTCGGTCAGGATGTTGGGGTTTTAATTTTTGAATTGAATAGTTAAAAATACTTTGCTTCTTTGCGTACCACCAGTAATACGCGTACTATCGGTTCAGAACCCCTGATCTAAAGGGTATCAAAATTTACAAAAGAAAGCTTAATAACATTTATTTGTTTACCTGTTTAAACATTTCTTCCACTCTTAAGTTGTTAGCCTTTATTTTGTACATGTTGTGAACGTAACTGCCGAAGAAACTATCCATCTACTGAAAAAAGGCTTTTTTTTTTTTTTCGTTTCCCAAATCGGATTTTTTGTGCAAGTAGTAGTTACGTGCCATTCATTTGTAGAAACTAAATCCATCAAAACATTCGAAGGTATGCAAGATATTTTTATAATAAAGTTCAGTTTTTTACCATAGAGAATTTTTAATTGAAAAAAATAATCTAATTCGTCTATTTAAAAAAATACGTATTTCTCGATAATTCAAAAATTAGGTCTTATTTCATGTTCGATATTAATCCACCTTCTATAATGTTATTTTGAATTCAATGAAAGCTGAAATTTACAATATTAACACAAGAGTTAACAAATAACATGGTAGTTTGTCATTCATTACTGAAGAAACATTTAATTAAATCTGCAGGGAAACATATTGACATATTAATTAAAGAACAGTACGAAGTCTGAGATCCGGACTCGTCAGGACTTCGGCGATTCCGGATTTGGGATTTTTCTGGATATTAGATCATCAATTTAAATCTTCTAAGATGGCATGCAGAAATTATAAAATTAAAAATATGAAATCTTGATTAATATTGAAATAATGAGCAATTTTTATCTAAAGGGTATCAAAATTTACAAAAGAAAGTTTAACATTTGTTTATCTTATTAAACATTTCTTTCAATGTTAAGTTGCTTTATTTTGTACTTGTTGTGAACCTCATTGCCGAGGAAATTATTCAACTACTGAAAAAGTGCACTTTTTAAGTTTCCCAAATCGGATTTTATGTGCAAGTAGTAGTTACGTGAGTCGTATGAAACAGAGGATTCACCGACAGGAGGCGCAACAAGCCCGCAGGTAGATTGCGGAGGCGGAGCAAGCGGAGACGCAATAGATAAGGAGTGTTTCGGGAATCAAAGTATTTGCGTGATTTTGAGGCATATTTCCAGAAAACTATAAATAACACGTTGGTGTGATCACGCCGATTCGTATTACTGTGTCGAATAATCGTATTTCCTATTGCAATGACGAAAACGTATCAAGATCCGCGACAAGTCGCAAGTTACGAAGGTTTGGATGCCCTATATCGTGCTGCTCAAGGCAAAATATCGAAGACAGCGATTAAGAAATGGTTGGAAGGTGTAGATGCTTACACGCTACAAAAGCCCCTTCGCCACCAATTTCCCACGAAACGCGTCATAGTTTTACAGTAGAGATGCCAATGGCAAGCTGACTTAATGAGATGTTTCGCATTTACGTAAGCATAATGGTGACTTTCGATAGATTTTAACATGTATGATTTATGATCATCATAAATATTTCTTAGATTTAATTTAAGATTTCTTAGATTTTCTTAGATCATAAAGATTGCTTAGATTTATGATCTAAGCAAGATTTTAAAATTTGCTTGGACGATTCCGCTCAAACAGAAGCGAGGAGAGGATGTGATAAAGGCTTTTACTGCAATTTTCAGGAAAATGTTGCAAACAAGATCGGGGAACAGAATTTAAACATGAGGTTTCAAAGATTTTTGAAAGAAAATAATGCCCGATTTTTCACAATGTTTAATTTTACAAAAGCTTTCGTAGTTTAAAGATTTAGACGCACTTTAAAAACTAAAAATGTGGAAGTACTTTACAAGTCAGAATAATTTCACATATATCGAAGCGTTAGATAAATTAATGAATAGCTATAATGCCACTATCATTCGAGCATTAAAATAGCTCCTGCGGAAGTGAATGATGAAAATGAGTTAGAGGTATGGTTTACATTGTACAAAGACTTGGCAGAAGCGAAACCCGGACTCGTAGAGGATGTCGTTCGCGTCTCGAAACGTAAATTATTATTTGAGGAAGGGGATGAAACTAATTGAACTGAAGAATTGTTTATAGTGACGGAGTGTGTAAAAGGCTTGGCAAATGCGGTCAAGAGCAGGAGACTGACGTTAATTACGGAAGGGGAAAGTAAATGGCTGTGTCAGGGCTCATAAGGGGAGATATATTTTTAAAAAAAAAAAAAGTGTTTTTAGGTCTCATTCAGTATCAGTAGATCAGGAATAAAATCTTGAATGGAGCTCTCCTCTATTTTTCACTGTAAGTCAGTAACGCGTACAAGGATGCACACGGTACCGGAATGGAGACAAATTACATAGGATACGAAAAGTTTTGAAGTGCTCTTTTACGTATTTATTAAACAGCTTGATAATATTAGTATGCACTTTTTTGGTTTATTAATAAATAAATAATTAATATTAATAAATTAATAAATACGTTTTTAATAAAATAGTACATAAACATCAGTAATAAACCGTATTTACAACTATTTTAGTAATAGTAATAATTAGTAAAAATCCATATCATTAATGTAATTAATGAAAGGCATTTGAAACCAAAATAGGATTTGCATTAATAAATTATAGTTAAGAATAGTGGCTCCCATTGTTCTGATTATTATTGGAATAAGTTAAAGATTAAATCCGATAGTAGCTTAAGATGGTTTTGCAGTTGGAAAAACAAGAAATATAATACATTTTGATTCACCTTTCTTTTCTTTATGATTGACGAATATCCGTTTGCCATACACGTGATCAAATAGGGAGTAAGTGTTTAATCCATAAGATAATAAGTATTGATTAACATTTCCTATAACTACTTCTAATTAAGGCTTCCTAAGAGCAACCCCCTTAATTTTGACTCGCAGCTTTTAATTGTAGACTAGGATATGAGCATAGGATCTACTTTTAAACAATGGGATTTTTTTTAAGCCCTGTGCAATGACAATGCCTAGTAATAATAGTTTTAGAGTCACAGAATCATTTTCTGGATTCCCATACTGATTTTTTTTCCAAGAGATATTAAAAGTTGCAATTGACGAGTATGAGCAATGCATAATACATACATATATAACGTAAGCATACCATAAAGAAAAGTGAACCCCAACAAAAGCTGATCGACTGTTATTGAACTCTAAAGAGGGGTTTATCAGAGGGAAAATGGCAATTAAAATTCCATTTAATTGATTTTAATTATTTATTTACTGTATCTATTTATTACTAATTGTAATGGATTGGAGTATTTGAATATGAATTAGCTGAATATTTAAGAAAAATATTACGACTGCGGGAATAGAAAAAACATTTTTTGAATATCTGCTTTCTTATAGAATGCAGATGAATTAATTTTTACTCAATGAAAATCAAATTTTAGTAGCTGATTAATCTGTCCTGTATCGAGTACCTTAGTTCAGTGATCCGTATTAATGTGCCCTTTTTTTAAAAAAATTAAATGCTTCAAGAATAATTAGAAAAAAAAAATCTCTTCTTACCCTTAAAGTCTTCAATAAAAAAAAACTGCATTTTCAGTTATAACCAGGTGAAATAATTCTCTAAATATAATTCAAAGCATAAAAAATAAGGTACATAAACGCGGCTGGAAATGGAACTAGCATTGAGATTCTCTTTAAAAAATATCGTGGTGAAGCTTACAAAAAGTCTACGAAGTGAAGTAATTCCGTAGACTATTTTTAATGTTTATGATTAAATTCCACTGAATTATACTTTATAAAACGACATGTAAATATGATTTAATGTATATTGTGTGGATGTGTGCTGTGGCAATTAGCCGGCTCAGCGGTAAAAGTCGTTGAACTGCTGGTAGGTCGATCCGGGGTTCGAATCCCGGTGAACG